GGCTGGCTTTACCAATATTCTTTGATGAGTAGGTGTTGAAGGGAGAGGGCTTATAGTACCACTCAGCCTCAGAATCCTTAGGTCACTTCTGCATCTAGGCAGTGGGAAAGTAAATCTAGACGGATAGTTCAATCCAGTTCAATTCCATCAACATCTTAGAGAGTCACAGGATGTTAAAGCTAGAGGGGGCCTTATCAATGAATATCAATTAATCCAACCCTTTTTACAGAGGAAGAAACTGAGGCTCAGAGAGGTGAAGAAGGAAGAAAGAAAGGCATTTAATAAGCATCTGCCATGTGCCAGGCACTCTGTCAAGGCTTTACAAACATGATCTCATTTGATCCTCACAACAACCCTCAAATGTAGGTAGGTAGGTAGGTGCTGATATTAACCTCATTTTACAGTTGAGGAAAATGAGTCAGATGGAGGTTAAATGACTTGCTTGTGATTGCCCAGCTAATAAGTATCTGAGGCTGGATTTGAACTCAGGTTTTCCTGACTCCAGACCCAGTATTCTATCCACTCTACTGTCTAGCCTGCCCTAAGAGAAAGTCACTAGAAAATAATCATGGGACTCCAAGTTCAATGTTCTTTATAGTGCTTTCACACCTAAACATGGTAGGGGCTGCTGATGATACAAAGTTTGGAGAAGACATGGCCCTTACCTTCATGAGGCTTATAGTCTAGAAGCAGGATTTAACATCAACAGAGATAACTATATGTAGCAGCCCTGTGAGCTAAGCTATCTACTCCCCTCAATCTTGAATTCTGAAGACTAGGTCTACAGGGCATATGATTACTCTATGTTCAAAGCATTCTGGCTTTAATCTTTCATGAATCTATGAGTTATGATTAGTTGGGTTAGAATTCAGAGAAAGGGAGGGAGGAGAGACAGATAGGGAGGAAGGAGGGAGAGAGAGAAGGGGAGGGGGGAGAGAGAGAGAGAGAGAGAGAGATGGGGGGAGGGAAGAAGAGATCTCAGGATGTTTATATGAAATTCCTAACAGGTATCCACATTCCCTTTAGCGTCTGAGTGCTTTCTAGCTCACTTAGTACCAGTGACAGGCAAGAACTCCCAGCAGAGAAGGTAGGAGGTAGGTGGGAGGTGAGGGGCTGAGTCCATTCTGGATAGACTGACCTTTTGTTAAAGATATTTTCAATATTGTAAATATCAGACTTTTTTTTGTTTGTTTGCAAAAGAAGAAATTGTATAGGACTTTGAGTGATATTTGCCCCAGCTTCAGTTTCCAGAGAAGTCCTTTTGTCTGACAAAGTAAATAAAACATTTCTATCCCCACCGATAACATGGATTCTTTTTCAAGAGCTGCTGTTTCGTCATAGGATCATAAAATGTTAGGGTTGAGGGGGACCTTAGAGCTCACCTAGTTAAGCCCCTTTCTTCCACAGGTGAGGAAACTGAGGCCCAGGGAAGGAAGGTGACTTATTTAATGTCACAGAATCAGTAAGTGGCAGAATTGGGATCTTAAGAGCTGAAAAGGACCTTTAACATCATCATTAAGAGTTGCCTATATGCAATCAACCCCTTCATTTTACAGACAAAGAAACTGAGGCATAGAGAGGGAAAATAACTTGGCCAAGATCACCACACTTAGTGAGTAGAAAAGAGAGTGTGCTCAAGTTTGCAGTTACTAACATTTGCTGTGGCCTAGTGTACAGGGCACTTCTGGGAGCATAGCTGGGGTGGGGCAGAGGGGAGAGAGGGACAAAAGAAACCAAAGGGTCAGATTCTACCATTCAAGAGTAAGTCAGTATGGTGTAAGACTTGGAGAAAGGAACACCTGGATTGAAATTCCACCTCTGCCACTCACTAGTTAACTGATGTAGAATCTGAATCATCCATCGATGTCCAAAAGACTCCAGGAGGAGTAAAGGCGAGGCCCACAGCACCATGGTGGCAGATTTGTTGGCCAATGTACGTTAGAGTCCCACAGACCAGACAGGCATGGATCAGTTTCAATCCATTGCATCGCTGGTGAGGCCACTGGTCTTCTTCAAAAAGGAAGGATGAACAACAGCACACATCACTGGAAAAATCACCACAAGGAACAGATTACAAGTCCATTGGAATAGCGGAGTCCTTGACAGACATGCTCAGGGGGAAGGCTGGATTTGGGAGATGGGAAGACCTAGGCTCCAATCCTAGCTGGGTGACATGATGCAAGTCACTTAACTTCTTGGTGCCTCAGTTTCCTCTTCTGTAAAATCAAGGTAATACCTGCAATACCTATCTCTGGGGGATTGTTGGGAAGCTGTAAGGAGAGAATGGAGGTAAGGGGGGGGTGCCAGCTTTTAAGGGCTATAGAAACATCAGCTATTATTATTATTAAGGGGTTGTGAATGAGTGGGAGTAACCACAGCCATTCTCATGGAAAGGGCCCAGCTCCTGGTCCCTGTCAGGGGATGCCTGAAGCCAGAAAGGTTGAGCCCTTTGGCCTCTGGCCCAGCTGGTGTTTGCCTTTGGTTTTTGGCCAGACCCAGCTGCCTTCTTTGCATCTGTCCATCCCTTTGCCCCAAGCCAAGAGCTGCAAGCCAGGCCAGCCGGTTTGGCTGGGGCAGCACAGACGTTTTACCAACTCGAAACGTTTCTCCCCATTGGCCCCTCCCTCCGAGGTGCTCAAGGAATAAAAGACAGGACCTTAACATTCCTGACCCTTGGCCTAGCATAAATCATCCCTCACCCTTGAATGAGTAGCTGTTTACCTAGCTGAATTCAACCATAGTCCAGAGCAGTTAGTTTTCTACCTGACTATTCTTAATGCTCCGAGGTCCAGGTGTTTCCTATCTTAAGCTCCAGGTGGCCGCTATCTTGAATGTGGGGTGGTGCCCCAAGGAGGAAAAAAGCCCTGGGGCTGGAGTGAAAGGACCTGGGTTCACACCCTCAATTTCCTCTCACCAGCCCTTTTGAGGTATTTGTGAGCTCCATTGTATTGATTTGGAAACTGAGGCTTAGAAGAAGGGGGCATGCCCAAGTTCACAGGGCCAGTAAGTGTACATAACAGTGGTCCAAACCTGCAGTCACTACCAACCTTTCAGTGTGACTCTGGGGGACTCCTTTACTCTCTGGGCCTCAGTTTTCTAAGAATTTCTCTCAGAACAATATCCCATCATGCAGGTTCCAAGCCCACTTTTGATACTACCTGTAAGACCTTGGAGAAGTAATTTAATCCTCCTAGCCCTCAGTTTCCTCATCTGTAAACTGGGGGGTTGGGGAGAGGGGTTGCAGCAGACGGCTCCTTCCAGCTCCAGATTCTTTGATTTGTTCAACATTCTCCAATCAGCTGGCACCCGTTCTGTTTCTGGTGCTGTTTTGGTTTGGGACCTGACTTCCTTGGGATTTCAACCCCAGCATGGAACAGCTAGCTTCTCCCCACGGGATGTGTAGAAGGCTAGTGACTTCTCTTGTGTGATTGCCTTCCATTCAGGGCTCCTAAATGAGTGGCTGCCTTCCAGAAGAAACTGCTCTCCATTTTCAAATGCTTCTTGAACAACAGTGCTCCTGGGCTGCACAGAAAAGGCAAGGCAGAAGCCGTGAAATCCAACTAGCCTTTGCTGGCCTTGGCTCTGTAAGAATGCCCCCTCCCAGACTAAAGCTCCGAGTTCTTTTCTTTTAAATCCATATGGTCTTTGTATTGCTTTGTTATGCAGCTGCCTGTCCTACAACACATCTTATTAGGATCACAGGATGTCAGCGTTAGAAAGGCCCATAGAAATATTCTAGTCCAACCCCCTCATTTTACCGAGGGGGGAAGAGAAGCCCCTCCTCCCCCAGGCGGGGAAGAGACTCACCCAAGGTCATGCAGTGAATTCGTTGCAGAGCTGGGGCTGCCGCTCTAGGTCCCTCTGTTCTAAGTAAGTCTAGGGCTTTTAGCACAGCACCTTGGCTAAACTCCCCCCCCCCCATTTAGAGTATCACCTCTTTGAGAGCAGGCATAGGCTTCCTTTTATATTTGCATCTGCAACGATTAGCACTGTGCCTGCCACACAGTCAAAGATTAATAGATGCTTTTCCATCCATTCATTCCCCAGCAAACAACAGAGGCATGTGTGCAAGAGTTCATCTCCAGCTTAGGCTCTCTTACGGTGCCTCCAAGTCTTCTCTGCACTCCACTTCCAGATTCCCACCCGCTCCTTGCGGCAGGGCCCAGAAGACTATGGCCCTGGGTAGGGGGTGAAAGTGATCAGAGGGGGCTGAGGGAGATTAGGCAAGTTTCCCGGGGTAGAAGGAGGCCTGGGACAAGGCCCGGCAGAGATAGCATTGCAGGAAGCCGGGAAGGGGTGTGTGAGAGAGAGGAATTCCCCACTGGGGTGCCGAGATGGAAATGAAGAGGCTACCCCCGACTCTGCCAGGCAGCCAAGGAAAGGACAATGGTATTCTGAGCTCCAGGAAGTCGGCCTGGGTTAGTGTTAGGGCAGATGGCCAGCCGTCAGGACTGAGAAGGCTGCCCCCCCACTTTTTCTATCACTGTCCCTCAACCCTTGCCCCAGCTCCACTTGGAGACTGGGGCGCTCCCCTTCCCCCCACCCCCCGAGGGTCCTCCCAGCCCCGCAGCAGACTCAGGCCCTCCAGGAAGCAGGGATCTGTGTGCTAATGTGTTAATCCTCCTATTCAGAGGGCCGCTCCCCCCCTACTGCGGGGAGCAGCGGCAGCCTCAAACCGAGCCCCGCCAGGCTTCTCCCGTCCTAATTACTGCACAAAAGGGGGAGTTTAGGCCCACTCTCGGGCACTTGTTGAAATCTCTGCTGAGCCCTGGGGACTGCGGAGGTCTCAATAGGGCGGGATTTCAAAGTCTCCAGCGGCTAGATCATTGTCTGAGCCCGACGAGGGGCCTTTTTCATTCACTGGGCGCAGGGCCGCCCCGGGAACAGGCTGGGGAGCTGGGGCCCCAGGAGCGTGAGACATGGCCCGCTGCCATTGGCTGAGCGGTCCGGCGGCCAACCAATAGGTGCCGCCGCCGCCCGAGACTCCCTCGCCCCGTGCCCCTGGGGAAGGAGTGTGTTGGGCCAGCCCCGGGGTCCGGGGCTTCAAAGGTAGCTTCCCTGCCTACCTGCCTGCTTTAGGGGCTGCTTATCCCCGGAAGGGAGAGACTTGGGGCTCATATTTCCCCTTGGCTGGCCTCCAAGCCGACCTAGACAGAAGACGGAGCTGCGACGTCGCTTTAGTTTTGGAAGAAGTTAGACCTTCCTCCTATCAGCCCTGCGATGTAGGTATTACCAGTGGGAGCATTCCCCTTTTACAGACGTAGAAGTCCAGTCTCAGGAAGGCCTAAAGATTAGCCTGTGGCCTCGGGAAAAGTGGTAGACTAAGGCCAATCCCAGTTATATTTCCCCTTCCTCTGGTGCCTCCCTTGTTGGGTTCCAGTCATCCTTCGGAGCTGGAGGGAGCCTTAGAAAGCCTCCTAGTCCAACTGCCTCTTTTTATAGAAGAAACAGAGACCCTCCCCCCGGGTTCAGTGACTTGCCCAAAGTCACAGCTAATGAGGGCAGAACTAGACTTTGAACCCAGGTCCTCTGAGTCAGAATCCAGCACTTTACACACTTGTACCAGGCCGCTATAGTTGACTTTTCCTTAAACAAGCCATTATTTTGGTTTTTTGTTTGTGGTTTTTTAGAGGTAGGGATGTATAGGTAGGGAGAATGAAATAATTTCCAGAAAAACCTTGTTAGATTAAATTACAGGTTGGAAGCCCACACACAGTTTGGCCTTTTCAGGTGCTGGTCTCTTTCTGAGCACTAGGAGAAGGAAAACAGGTTGTTGGAGTTTTAAAAAATCAGAAATGTCTGTCAAGAGTTCACACTTCCAGGCTGGTTATAGTGTCCAAGGGAGACCTGGGTCTTAATTAGTGGAGGTGTAGGAAGGAGAACTGGGTTGAACACACAGAGAGGAGGATGGGATCATAAAATCACAGACTATTGGTGTTGAAAGGGCCTGGCTCCCCAGCTCTTGTCCTTAGGAGGGCTCCAAAGGTTACAAGTATCCCAGCTCATCACCCTCTGAAACAGACCAGGGAGGTAGGTAGGACAAGCTTTAGCTCTATTTTGCAAAGGAGGAAACAAGGTTGGCAAAGTCCAGTCAGAATTTGGAGCTAGAATGCTACCACGTCTTGGGCTCCTGAGATCAGGCTGTTTTTACTATACTGAGATCTAGTCCACCCTGTCTCATTTTACCGAGAAGGAAACTGGGCCCTAAAGGGGGGAAAGTGACTTGCCCAAGCTATACAATTTGACTGGTCTGCCAGCTGATAGGTTGGGAGTTTAACCTATTGTCTACGTATGGGGGTGGGGGAAGTAGATTCACACACACACACACACACACACACACACACACACACACACACCCATTGCCCACTTCACTTTGGGAAGCAAGTTGATCCACTCTAGACAGCTAGCCAGGATGATTGCTCTAAATATAATCTGATGTACAGGACTTCTATTTTCTTTAACATATGACCCCCTCAAATCAACAATTACCCTGATTGCTGTTATTCTTCAAAATTTCTTCATTATTATTATTATTCAAAAAAGCTTGGCAAATTTAATTGCCCTGAGAAGAAGCTGGAAGTCCCCATAGGAACCTTCCTTAGCAATGTGGGAGCCTTGCGCAGTGGTGGAGTAACCAACCATCCATTAATGCCACACTGAGGAGAGAGCTTAGCTCCTGGAAAGGCTGCCAGTAGTGGCCAGGCCTGCCAGTGTTGATTGTGCCCTTGACTTAGTAATGTTAAGTTTTTAACACTATGAGGAGGGTCTCAGGGCATTTTAAAATTGACCTTAACTTAGATTTTCCTTCCATTTGCAATCCTTTATAAATGACAGATGTGATGTCAGTAAAAGGGATTTTTAGAACTAGAATTGATTACAATTATTTGGTAATAACTTCCTCTCACAAAGAAATTAGATGGGTTTCAATCTCTACTGTGTGATGCTTGGGCATCCTCATGGATTAAGTGTGGGACTGGGGGCTTAGTTGCTCTTATATGTCACGCCTGCTTCCTGCCTCCTCTTGCTTAGAAGACCCCCCTTTATCTGCTCATGGAGAGAAAGCTGGAAGGGACCCCAGAAGTCTTCAGAACCAATCCTTTCATTTTGACAGATGAAGTACAGAGAAATGAAGTGAATTGACCAAGATCACAAGCGTGGTGAGTGGCAGAGTCAGGATTTGAACCCAGGCCTTCTAACTCCTTTCCAGTGTCTTTTTTTTCTTTTTTAAAAATTTAAAAATTGTATTTTTTTCCAGTGTCTTTCTAAAGCAGAGTTCTTAACCTGGGGTCCAGAACTAAACATAGGAGCAAAAATGACCTCTTTATTTTCCCTAACTTCTAGCTGATATTTAATATTTTCCTCAGTTATCGACAAAGATTACTGAGAAAAGTAAGGCACCAGAGTGCCAAAGGGGGTCCATGACACATGAAAGGTTAAGAATTCTGCAAGGCTAAAGGCTACGACTGAACCAACTCCCCTTGTTAATTTCAAATTCTCAAAATCCTTATTTTGTCTGAAGTCTCAGCTCAGGTGCTACCTTTCCCCATCTCCCTTTTCAGATATTTCGTTGATAGCTTTTTAATTTTTTTACATCACTATCATTTCTTAATGAATCACTCCCTCCCTCTCAATAGAACCCTCTATTGTAACAAATATGTATGCTCAAACTGAACAAATGATCGCACTGGTTCTGTGTGAAAATGAATGAATGGCTCCATCTTCTCACTTTCCTTGGATTTTTTCTGAGAGCACTTAGTCTGAATGGACGTGTTCTGAGTCACCATTGAGCCTCACTTTGTATTTCGCTTGTCGGGTGCTCATTTCAGATCATCCTTTTCCCTTCCCTTCTGGAAGAATGTAAGCTCTTAGAGGGCAGGGGCTGTCACTGTTAATATCCCTATCCCGGGCACTTAGCAGGAGGCCTGGTACATACATAGTAGGCACCTCCATCAGTGTTCCTAGAATTGCTTTCTTCCATGGCTTATCCATCCGTTCAATGGGAACAAATCAAGTCAGGCTACTGGAAACCTTACAAAGTTATAGTCTTTTTTTAGACCCCTGTTTATCCTTTGCAGGCATCTGGGCTTCTGTTCCCCCATAACGCTGTTTTCTGCAATGCATTCTCAACCATATTTTTCTTGCAAATTTTTCTTAAACTCTTTCTCAGGAGGCTTTGGTTTGTTTTCCCCCTTATGATTTCCCCTGAGCATTTCCAGACTCTTCAAGTGAAAATATGCAAGTCGAGACTTGTGGGTAACAAGTTAGGACTTGTGGGGACACTTGGGGCTGTGGGGGGAGGGCAGACTCTGAGATCTGCCAACAATCCTTCCCCCCCATTCGGCTGAAGGCAGAGCTTATGTTATTGGGACAACGTAAGGCCCCAGATTTTCAGGAATGAAATCTGAGAACAGTGTGTCAACATATTGCTCAGATCTGTCTTGGAATATACAGTAGATGGATTTCTTTGTGCTGGGAAACATTAGGGAGGTCAGTTTGCTTTTCAGATTTTTTCCCCTTTTTCTTTCTTTTTTTTTTTAAAGGCAGGGGTTCATTCTTATCCTCTAAAGTGGTGGTATTAGATATCTTCCAGATAATGCACTTGGTGGTTGTGGAGACTTCAGGTTCAAACAGAATGCCTCAAGGCGAGCAGCTTTTATGGATCCAGTTACCAGTTTTTTAGTTCACAATTAATGTTTTTCAACAACTACTGCTGGCTTGGGAGGAAACCCCGAAGTGACCAATGAAGCCAAGTAATGATGAACTTAAGCACCGTAAGTACCTAGGTGCAAAGAACCCCAAAGAAGAGAGGACACCCAGTTTGGGAGAGTCACAAGCCCTGGCTGGGAACCAGAGCTCTGCTTTGATTATCTGGGTAACCTTGGGCACATCACTTAACCTCCCTGGGTCTCAGTTTCCTCATTTTAAAAATGAGAGGATTCGACAAAATTACCTCCAAGATCTCTTTGAGCTCTAAAGATATGATCCTGTGTGTGACTTTGGACAAGTCACCTTATGTCCCTGGGCCTCAGTTTCCTTATTTGTAAAATGAGAAGTGGGACTACATGGCCTCCAAGGAGCTCATTCTAGCTCTAGATCTATAATCCCAAGACCCTTCCCCTCCCTGGGCCTCTGCTTTCTCCTCTGTCAAATGATGGGGTTGGATTCAGTGGTTCTTAAGGACTCTTCCGGCTTTAGATCCAAGATCCTAAGATTCTAGTGGGCCCCCAAGAATTGAACAGTCCTGAAACTTGGCTCACAGACCTCATCTGAGGTGCGGGGGAGGAGACCTGTGCTTGATCAGAAGGAGGAGGGCACACAGTGGATGGAATGGCATATCCTTGAAGTATTAAAATAAACAGGGAGGATTTGGGTCATGTATCCAATGATTTGGCCAGTCCCTGAATTTCCAGAAGCAACTGGACAAAGGGAGTCTAGGGATTGGAAACTTGTTTCCCATTCTGAAGCTATGGCTGTTTTCTCAAATCTTCATTCTTCTTCCTTCAAATGTTCCAGAGCCCTGCCCCCTCCCCCACCTAGGAGACACCTGGGATGTACCATTTGCCTCAGTAACAGCATTAATGGGAACTCGTCTGTTAAGCAAAGACCTCTGTGGGATTAGACATGTTTACATCCATCCAAGATCAATGGAAGAAGGCCTCTCTCCCTCCCTTGAAAGCTGTGCTGTTGTCTCTGTCTCTCTCTCTATCTCTCTGTCTCTGTCTCTCTCTGTCTCTCTGTCTCTCTCTGTCTGTCTTTCTCTCTCTCTCTCTCTCTCTCTCTCTCTCTCTCTCTCTCTCTCTCTCTATTCCGAATGAAACATTGCTGAGCTTTATGGGGCTGGTGGCAGACAAAGCTGGGGCTAAAGTTTCAAAGGTACTTGCCTCCTAACCCAGCTTTTCAGCAGCTCATTATGGCCTTTAAGATGGCCTTGGGTCTGAAATAGATATAATATTTGACTAATCACAGATTCACACTGTGTTCTGATGACACTCCTTTCTGAAACACCACAGAGAGGACATCTGTTACTTGGTGATTTTTGAAATTCACTATGGTCCACACACAAAAAGAATGATACATCTTTCAATACTGTAGAGATCTGGGCTTGTATTTGTGTGAGGGGTACTTCCTCCAATGCAGATTGCAGCCCCTCCACCACTTAGGAGATGGTTTCCTAAGTTTCTATGGCCAAAAAACTTGACTCTTGGTAACCAGATTTTGGGGGATGAGCCTGTCCCTAGGTAGCCTCCTTCTTCTGTCATTTCAGTTCATCCATCCCTTTTCATGCCTCACAATTCTTATCCATGTCTTCCCATCGATCCCACTTGGGAGATTTACTTAACCTCCTAGAGGCTGGTCTTCCTTCCCTTTGATTGTTTTACATTTAGCTGGTACAGATGTAGTAGTGGAATTGTCCATCTCTTATCCCTTGCTCTATGACTTGCCAATTTTATTCTCCAATCCTGGATGATCTCCTTTGGTTGGTTGGGTGTGCATGCAGGCCATAGTCTATTCATGCCTACCATGCATCTCTCAGATCAGCTCTTGACATCTTCACCATGAGTCATGTCCTTTGAGTTATCTGCAACCATACAGCATTCTTGGGAGATTGTTTGTATTCAAAAGGTAGGTTTGGGTTTTAGGTCATTGAAAGGGTAGCATAATTTTCCAAATACAATCCAGCCCATTCTAGTCCTCCTTTTTGAGCCTGAAATTATTGTTCTCTTGCAGTGCTTGTCCTAAGTATATGTACCAATTCAACACTGGCCATCTGTTCTGGGCCAGGCCTGAGTCAGTGGTTCAAGTTCAGAATAGGAGCAAAACAGGACAGACACCTGTAGTCCATCAAACATTTAACAAAAGGAGTTTCCTTAAGAACATGCAAAGGCTATTCAACAAGAATACAACATTGATTCACTTGACCAAATCAGAGAATATATGTTAAGTGCCTTGCGAATCTTAAAGCAAGATTTAAATGCTAGCCCTTTGGTATTATTATTATTATTTCCAGATTTCCTTGCCTCTTTATGTGCCATGGTGGCACACCTAGTCAGAATCGTTTGTCAGATTTGCAGAGATCCTAACTCTTCATGGGCTAGGCTTTTGCACTTAGGTGACCAAGAAGGTAAATTGAAAGTATGAGCCTTAGTCTCCTGGGCCAATCAAGTTTTGACCCTTGTTTCTTTGCCTTTTAGGGGAAAAAGCCTAGTCTACATGGAAGGGACTTCAACAGATGTTCCTAGCACACCATCTAACTGCTTATGATAGTTGGAGGGTAGGTACTTTTCATCCACTTTTTTTTTTTTGGCGAGGCAGTTGGGGTTAAGTGACTTGCTTAGGGTCACACAGCTAGTAAGTATCAAGTGTCTGAGGTTGAATTTGAACTCGGGTCCTCCTGACTCCAGAGCTTGTGCTCTATCTACTGCACCACCTAGCTGCTCCCCCACTTAGCTTTTCTGCTATGAATTGTCAGGCTGATCTTTTTTGGAGAATCAGGGATGTCAGAATATTCTGTAATGTTTTGGGACTTGATTCAATCAAGTTACAAGTTTGTCATCTGAAAACAGGCGTAATTTGGGGGATATCACTGCCTATAGGGGATCTTTCTTCCCTTTGGATCCTGCTCAGGCCATCTTCTATAATATTGGCAACTGATTTTGGTGAGCACACAGCTCCCTGTTCTATTCCTTGCTTGATATTAATAAGAGAGGGGCATTAAATAGAGTTATATTTTGGGTTGCACACATCGAGAAATCTTGTATTACCTTAACATACGCATGAGAAGCTTGTTGGAGGAGATCCTTTCTTCCTAAAGCTTCCTTTTCTTTTCCTTTCCTATGTGTATTTTACTGCCATCCTTCCCCCTGTGCCTTTCATCGTGCTTTGCTTGGTAGCCCTCCTGGGCTTTGATTCAATTTTATTTCCTGCCCCACCCCCCTTCTCTCTCCTGCCTTGAGCTTCAGGGCTTTCCTACTGGTGTTTGTTTTGCCCTTTCCAGTTTGAAGATCATTTTCCTTGATAGAAAAGATGGAAACAAAGTTGTAGTTTGCTTGATCCCAGATTTGGAAAGGCCTTCAGGCTATCTAGTCCAACCCCCTCCTTTTACAGGAGAGGATGCAGAGGCTCAGACAGGTCATATGATTGTAGTTGTAGCACTGAAAAGGAATTTAGAAGTCATCTAGTCCAACCTCTTCATCCCAAAGATGAGGGAACTTGGACCCCAAGTCTTCCCCAAGCAGTGACCTGAACCCTTCCTTCTCAAACCACATATATGTTGAAAACCCCCTCAGTCATTTTGTTGGGTTTCGCATTGTTCCTGGGCTTATACTCGTTCTTGGTGAAACCCCAGGACAGCAAAAGAATGGAGAAGGTGTCCAACTAGGGGTTCTTTAAAATGAGATTTGACCAAAATGAAATTTGGCCTTTATGGCTGAGCTGTGATGATCTTGTATTTAACTACCTTCTATGTATTTCTACTTAGTCATTTTCTGTTTATTCTTTCTATGAATATATATTTACTTGTTTCTCTGTTAAGAGTTTTAGCTCTTTGCATGTAGGAGGTAATTTGATTCTTTGTACTTGTAACCCCAGTGCCTCTCTCAGTTTCTGACAGTAGTTGCTTAATAAATGCTTGTTGATTGTTTAACCTGAAGAAGAGAAGATTGTGAGTAAAGGTTGTTAATGGACTTCCAGCCATTGAATTGCAGTTAAAAATGGTAAGAAAGCTAGCCTCATCCTCCAATTGATAAATGGTCAAAGGATATAATCAGGCAGTTTTCAGATGAAGAAATCAAAATTAAAATGCTCTAAATCACTGTTGATTGGAGAAATGCAAATGAAAACAATTCTGATCAACAACCATCACACCTATCAGATTGACTAATATAACAGAAAAGGAAAATGATAAATGTTGAAGGGGATGTCGGAAAATTGGGACACTAATGCACTGTTGGTGGAGTTGTGAACTGATCCAACCATTTGGAGCAATTTGGAACTATGCCCCAAGGGCTAGCTAACTGTACATATACCCTTTGATCCAGCAATACCACTACTAGGTCTATATCCCAAAGAGGTTTTTTTTTTTAAAGGGAAAAGGACCTATTTATTCAAATCTATTTATAGCAGCTCTTTTCGTGGTGGCAAAGAATTGGAAATTGAGGGGATGCCCATCAATTGGGGAATAGTTGAACAAGTTATGGTATACTACTGTAATGGAATGCTGTTGTGCTATAAGAAATGACCAGCAGCCAGAGTTCAGAAAAACCTGGAAAGACTTACATGAACTGATGCAAAATGAAGCAAGCAGAACCAGGAAAACATTGTACACAGTAACAATATTATACAATGATTAACTATGAGTGACTTAGCTATTCTCAGCAGTACAAGGATCTAAGACAATTCCAAAGGACTTACGATGAAAAATGATATCCACCTCCAGAGAAAGAGCTGATGGAGTCTAAATGCAGGTCCAAGAACACTATTTTTCACTTTATTTTTTTCCATACTTTTTTGCCCTTTTGGTCTGTGTTCTCTTTCACAACATGACTAATATGGAAATATGTTTTGCATGATTGCACATGTATAACCTATATCAAATTGCTTACTGTCTCAGGAAGGGGGGGAGGTGAGTGAGGAAGGGAGAAAATTTGGTACTCAAAATTTAAAAAAATAAATATTAAAAATTGTCTTTACATGTGAAAATCCCCAAAAGATAGCTGGCTTTGAAGCCAAGAAGATCTTGGTTCAGCTCTTGCCTTATACTGGCACATACTGGCTCTGTGACCCTAGGCAAATCATTTAACTTCTCAGTATTCTAGGCTGCTCTCTAAGACAGGAAGCTATAGAGAAGGTGCCAGCCTGCATTAGTAGAAGGAACTTCCCTTGCCTGGGAGTTCCCTATATCAATGAAATCACAGGTCCAGTTCCTATCCCTATTCCTAAGAAAGCTACTTCTTAGTCATAGCTGGCCAATTTCCCACAGAGTGAAATGACTTCATGAATATTCTGTACCCCTGGTTCTGCAGAGATTTGGTCTTTCCCCTAAGTATGAATTGAACATCTTGTTTTGAGTCCTATTTTTTTTTTGATAGAGAGTGCAGATCAGAACCATACCAAAGGCTATTACATACAGAATGGATGTACGAAATCAAGTTGTTCCCACTGTGACACTTTGTAAGTCTTCATAGATTATAGAAATGTGAATTACTAATGGAAATCATTTTTCTAGTGGTAAAACCTTGAGCAAGTCCTTTCCTTCTATGGGCCTCAGTTTCCTCATCTGTAACATGGGGATTGGACTAGACATTCTCTAAAAGTCCATCCAGCTTGAACATTCTTTGAGCCTCTGAACCCAAGTCAGTGGCAGTTGCCTTCAGCATTACATAGGCTCTCACAGTTTTCATCATATAGCATGTTGCAATGGACACAGGCCTGGATTTGAAGAGAGACACCCTGTGTTCAAATCACTTACCAGCTGTGTGAACTTGGGCAATTCACTTCTCATTTCTGGGTCTCAGTTTCCCTATCTGTTTAATGAAGGGGTTGGACCATATGGTCTCTTCCAGCTGTGACATTCTATACATTCTTCCTTTGGGTTTCTTCTATCCCCCTTCCACTCTTGGGAACCTCTCATTACGATACCCTGTTTTTCATCAGGGTCTTGGCCTGTGGTGGCCAGCTTTCAGCCACTGTCAGTAATGTCAGTCATCAGTCACCAAGGCCCACATGTTAAGCTGTACTGCCCTGTAGGACAAAAGCATCACCCTTGACATCTCCATCCATTGATGCAGTGATTGATTGGGAGAGTGGTTAGGGGGATCAGCAGGAGGCAAGCAGCCAGGTGCTGGGAAGATTGAGCAGGGGCTCAAACGGGACATTGAATGCACTAGACAAGGCTACCTGGTCAGCTAGGGCAGGGACAGGCATAAACAAGCAGTTCTGTATGCTCTGTGTGTGTGAGTCAGAGGTCATGGGACCCTGGCCAGCTCCTTAGAAATGTGATCCTTAGGTAAGCATGAGAAAATACCATATTGTCAGGCTGAGTATCGGAATAATAAATACAGAGCTGCTTTCAAATGCAACTCAACATTCAGTGAGCTCCTATACAGTGCCAAGTCCTCTGCAGGGATGGGACAGGCCAGGATAGGACGGCCTGGGTGGAGTGGGAGGCACAGTGATGAAGAAGATGCTACATCTCTTCTACATTCATGGCTCTTGGGCTTCTCTCTCCCTCTAGGCCATCCCACCCACTTCCCAGATTTGTTGGGGGGAACAACGGAGATAAAGTGTGGAAAGTCCTTTGGAAACTAGGAGGAAGCATGGAAAGTGACCCCCTCAAGTCTTTGCTATAAGTAGGGTAAAAGCCTAACTTGTTCATGAGATCTCCAAGGAGTAGTGAAGGGGTGGAGGGAGTTGAAGTCGATTCTAGCTTGCTGGAAGGATTGTAGGTTCATGGATGGAGAACTGGCAGGAGCCCCAGAAGTGGCCTCATCTAACTGTCTCATTTTCTGGAGGCCCTGGGAGGTGAAGGGACTTGCTTGGAATCACAAGGAGGCCCATAGACCCAGAGCTGGGAGGGACTCAGTGGAATCCTACACATGACCTTGGGCAAATCCCCTCACCACTCTGCTCACAGATAAATGTTGAGTTGCATTTGAAAGCAGCTCTGTGTTTATTATTTCAGTACTCATTTTGACAATATGTTATTTTTCTCATCTTTTAGAGGTCACTGTGTTCAACACTCTCATTTTGCTGATGAGTAAGCCTGAGGCCTGGGTGGGTCCAGGGACTTGCTCGTGGTCACAGATAGGATTTTAGATCTAGAGCCAGAAAGGACCTCAGCACCATTTTAGTCCAACCCCATCGTATACAGAGGAGGAAACCAAAGCCTGGGGACATCAAAGGACTTGCTCAGGGTCATGTGGGTAGAAAGTATGAGGCAGGATTTGAATCCAGATCCTCTGACTCCAGAGTAAAAATACTTCCCAATGATGAGAGCTGTCCCAAAGTGGATTGGGCTGTTGCAAGAGGTAGTAAGTTGTCCCCCACTGGAGGTCTTAAGGCAGGTAGGTAGTGGGTGGCCACCTCTCAGGGCTGTTGTGGGGCAGAGGGCTTCTGGTGGATTTGGTGGTAGCTGAGGTTCCTTCCACCTCTGAGATTCCATGGGGTTGATGTGTGCCCTAGGAACTCATGTGACCTCTGTGGGCTTTCAATTTCTCCCCCATAAAATGGGAGCATTGGGCTACATGATCTCCAAGACTCCTTCCATCTTTATAT